GCGAGGGAGATGCATATCGACAAGGAGAGCGGCCAGGTCATCATATCGTTGCCGCTGTCGCGACTTTCAGCTCCAGCAGCAGGTGAGGGGAAGACAGCTTCTGCTTCCAAGACTCGCGGCCTCCCCGAGGGCGACGTATCCCGCGAGGCAATCGTGCATCCGCGGTGGGGTCGACAAACACGGGAGGAGACAAGGAATAGAGGAGACAAAAGAAGGGGGGCGATGATGAGGGCGGCGGGGCGCAGGATAGGGAGGACGGGGATGGAAGGGTCGGGGATCTGGGATCGGGAGCGGGGGGGACGAAGGGGTGGATGTAAGGGGTGAGAAGGGGCAGCGAAAGAACAGAACGGAAGGAGGGAAGGAATGGATAAATGGCGCAGAGGAAGGCGGGGATGGACAACAAGACATGAATAAAAGCCAAATTGCTCGGTGGGTGGTATGGTGTCGATCCTATGCTGCGCGTGTGGGGCGAAAATGTAGCTCAGAAAGCCAACGCAGCGCCAAGAGAGGACACGCGCGATTGAGCATGCACCTGGTGGGTACGCGCGGAATCGTAGACGTGCGGCTTCAGCGCGCCTCAAGGTGTACGCCTTGAACGCTGTACTAATAAACGATGGATACGCAGAGCTGCTTCGAGAGATAGACGAAGGGCCGAGATCGAGCGCACCGGGAGTCAACCCTCCGCTGCACCCAGAAGCAGAACGCGGGACACCGCACCCACCCCGCCTACGCACCCACATCGCTCATCGCCACGCCTGCATGCTCACATCCCACATCATCATGCGCATACCCGCCGCCCCCGCACCACATCGAATGAGGTCAATCCGGCGGCGTCGCGAGCACACGGGGGAGGGGCAGATGCGGTGTACGGACGCACGCGGTGGCGTGTTGCATGGGGCACGCCGACGGACGGAGGAAGATGCGCACCACCCGCGCCGTCTCACACGACCACGCTCGCTCGCACGCCAGCATATCATCATGCTCATGCCCGCCGCCCGCGCACCACAACGAGCACACCTCGCGCGCGAAAGTCGTACCCCACGTCCCCACTCGACCGTCACGCCTACACCCTCCTCGAACGTCGCGTCCCGGTCTTGTACCAGATCGTATCCCCGGTCCCAGGTGGCGTGGTCGACGCTCGACTCCTCAACGCGTTCGCCCTGCATCGCCGCAAGAGCCGACACGGTCTCCGTCGTCATCGCACGCCGCACGTACACCCGTCGTGCCCGCATCCTCACCCGTCGTCGCCGCACGTCGTCGCGAGCGCCGTCCCGTCCCGTCGTCTTCCCCACCCGTCGTCACCGCACCCCTGCACGTCTACCCGTCGGGCCTGCACGCCGCACGCCCCCCGTCGTACCCGCACACTTACCCGTCGTCGCCTCCTCACCCGTCGCCTCCGACACGCTCTCCCGACACGGCCTCCCGCCCACCCATCGTCGCGAGCACACGCCCAGGCCGCGGTGTAACGGGCCACGAGGGAAATGAAACGAGCACGCGGGCCGATCTGAAGCGCAAGCACCCCCACAAAGTTGGGCTTCTTCGCACGATCGGGCGTCACGCGCGCAGCGGTGTACGACGCGGTGCACGCCGACGGAGGACTATGCGGCGCCCGCTTCACACGCGCCCCCAACCCCACTCGCGACAGACAGCACGGCGCCCTGCTTCGCTCGCGCGCAACGTGCCCAAGAGCACGGTCAGTGCGGGCGCGCACGGCGAGCAGGCTACGCTCCCGCGCCCTGGATATGCGGTCAGCCCAGAGACAGCGAAGGCGTGCAGGGGCGGAGTCGCGCAGCCAGCGACAGTGGGATATCAGACTTGCGGCGGCGCGCGTGGTGTGCTCAAGGGAACAGTTGGTGCGGGAGCGCCGTGGTGGGCAGCGGGGGCGCCGGTGCGGGACGACAAAAGCGTGGTGGAGGAGCGCATCGTCCGTGACGGGACACAGCGAGGGCGTGCATTTGCGACAGTGGGAGGATCGGGTTCGACTCGCGAGGGCGGAGGGCGCGGTGTGCCCAAGAGCACGGTCAGTGCTGGAGTGCCGTGGTGGGTAGCGGGGCGCGAGGCGCGGGACTACAAAAGCGTGGCGGAGGCGCACATCCCCCGCGCCCTGGATATGCGCCATGACATTGCGTGGGGACGGAGTGCGCAGCCAGCGACAGTGGGATAAGCGTCGCGGGCGCGGGCGCGGTGTGCGGTGTGCCCAAGGAGGAGCGTACGGCGGGCAAGTTACGCGCGACAAAAGGGCGGAAGAGAACCTCCCCCGCGCTCGGACCGGACGCGGCGACGGACGCGGACGCGGTGGACGATGCTCCACACGCACACGCTCGGACACAGTATGCAGGGTGCGCGACATTGGCGTCGAAGCATCCCCCGCGCCCGGATACAGCGCAGGCGTGCATGTAGTGAATGGGATCAGACGAGGTGCGGAAGCGTGTGGCGAGCAGGTTACGCTCCAGCACCAGGACACAGCAGAGGCGTGCAGGCAGGTGATGCGCCTGGACGTAGCGAAGGCTTCACAGCGCGGGTACTCAAGGACAGCGGTCATACTGGGACCGCGCGTCGAGGCCTAGCCGTGTTCATCCAGATCCAGGGACGGCGCTCCGGTATGTACTAGACGGCGCGGTCTGGGAGTATTGTGATTAGCATGCCTGTAACTCTGTACCGAAAAATTGAATACGCGCCTTGTTATTCACGCGAGTGGGTATATAGTTCAGACATCGTGTAGCGTGTGTGTGCGAGACGGGGCGGAGACGGAGTTGTGCGTGTGCAGCAGGAGGGGAAAAGCAGACGCGGAAGGAGGGGGACAGGGAGAAGCGACGGCGACGCAGTGATACAGCTGAACCGTGGTAGCACCAGTAGAGTCCAGGGAACCTTGCCACAGTAGAGCTGTGGTCGCAAGCCAAGAGCAAGCAGAGATTTCGAGCCAAACGTGATTGGTCATCCGGGGAGTGCCGGCTGCTCTCTAGTTGGGAACGACGTCCGCGTCAGGATTGGGCAGGGCGCGCATTGGGCGGATCCTCCAGCTCCTCGCCCCCTAAGCAAGAATCTAACAGGGAAAACAGGGCAGGAAGGCGCACGGTGCGCATCGGGCGTTTGTACCAGGCCACAGTCACTCGCAATAACCCGAACGTCCCCGTTCGACTCGGGGTCCAGCCATTCACCAGGTGCTTGAAACTTTTTTGCTCTTCTTTCGTTGCTCCATTCTTTTTGACTTCATACCTTCAATATAGGCTTCAGACTATATGTGTGCATAAGGGGTGAGTTCCATTAGGGCACTTGTTCTTCTCAGTGGTACTTCTTTCCACTGGACTCGTGATATTCCCCCCTGGTAGATCTGAACCCAGGTGAGCGTGATTCTCCCTACATCTATCCAGGTACTGAATACTAGAAATAAGGCAGGAAGGCGCACGGTGCGCATTGGGCTTCTGTGCTGCCGAGATCTCCAGCTATTGAGCAACCCGAAGGTCCCCGTTCGACTCGGGGTCCTGCCATGTGTAATTCTGGTTTTTTTATATCCTCGGAAGGCTGTTCGCCCCGCATACAATTTTGTTTCTCGGCTTTGCGGATATTTGGGCAACGCGAAGGGTGAGTTCCACACTCAATTATTTTGTGAATGCAATGATTTCTATCTATATTTTGATCAATGCAAGGGGCCGAACTTGAACATCCCTCGGTTTTTCGTGCATCTATCCGGGTACTGAATACTAGAAATAAGGCAGAAAGGCGCACGGTGTGCATCAGGTTCTGTTGTGGTTGCTGGATTTTATAAGCAACTCGAAGGTCCCCCGTTCGACTCGGGGTCCTGCCATGTGGCTTTGGAAACAATTTTTGTTCTTCTTTCGTTGCGCCGTTCTTTTTAACTTCATACCTCCAAGATAAGCTTCGGATTATATGCATGCATAATGGTGAGTCTCATTAGGGTACTTGTTGGTCTCAATGGATTTCTACATGGACTCCGTGATATTTTACATTGACAAAACTGAATTTGCCCAGCGGGCCTGATTCTTCCTGCACTCATCCAGGAAACTGGGTGGTGTGAGAAAGGCAGGAAGGTGCATGGTGCGCATTGGGTTTCTGTGCAGGAAGATGCCATAAAGCAACCCGAAGGTCCCTGTTCGACTCGGGGTCCTGCCATTCTGTGGAGATTGAACACTTTTTTTGCTCTACTTTCGTTGCTCCTTATACTGTCAAGATAGGCTTCAGACTATATGCATGCTTCCATGCCTCGTTGCGGCGCAAATGGTGAATTCTATTTACTTGTTATCCCCAGCGGAACTCGTGATATTTTCCCCTAGTAGATCTGAACGCAGGTCGGCATGATTTTGCCTGCGTCTATCCAGGAGCTAGGTGGTAGGAGGAAGGCAGGAAGGCGCACGGTGCGCGTTGGGTCTATGTGCACATACTCTTCATGCGCGATAGCCCGAAGATCCCCGTTCGCCTCGGGGTCCTGCCATAAATACAAGGCCAAAAGTAGTTTTTTTTCTTCTTTTTCTTTCGAGGACGCATCATGTCTTCTCACCTCTGTTTCCACAATACAATATTCTTCCCCTTTGAAATCTATTTTGAAATCTATTCCAACCAATGAGACATGGGTAGCCAGTGTCTGTGTGCTTTATCGGCACACTTTATTTTCCTGTCAGTCCGGTAGGACTAATACTTTGATTCAATGAATCCATGAACACGTATATTAAAAGTGTAAAGGTCGGGAGAAAGGCAGGAAGGCGCAGGGTGCGCGTCGGCTTCTCATGATAAACGGGTACCATAAGCACATGTAGGTCGAAGGCCCGTTCGACTCGGGGTCCTGCCATGTTTTGTGGCGAAGTTTTTTCCCCCACTGCTTCAGCCCCCGACTGTCCATCACGTACAGTAAATTATTTCGAGTCCTTGTTCAATCCTCCATGGCTCTCGGGAGTCGGAAGTATTATTGCGTGCGGCCAGAGCTGGCCACACTATTCCTATACTAAGGGACATCCACATATTCAACTCGGGAAGAAGAGTGGGAAGGCAGGAAGGCGCAGGGTGCATGTCGGCTTTTGATAAAGAGAAAAGACTGCGCGAAAATGAACCGAAGGTCCCCGTTCGACTCGGGGTCCTGCCATGAACATCTGCATAGGTCTTTTTTTTTCGAGGTGGCATCACCTTTGTACCTATACGATATCCCTCTCAGTAAGCGATATTCAAACCGAGGGAACGTGCGCTGCTCGGTCGACACATTTTATTTTCCTGTCAGCCCGGTAAGACTAATACTTTGATTCGATAAATGTATAAACACGTATATTAACTGCACAAAGGGTGGGAGAAAGGCAGGAAGGCACAGGGTGCGCGTCGGCTTCTGATGTGGGGGAATATATGCAAGAAAATGGACCGCAGGTCCCCGTTCGACTCGGGGTCCTGCCAGAACATCTGCATAGGTCTTTTTTTTCGAGGTGGTATCACCTTTGTTCCTATACAATATTCCCTCTCAGTGAGCGATATTCGCGATGTCGCCCGCCACTACCCGCAGTGCGGGATCGCTGGGTACGCCCTGATATGTATCTCGATTCCTCCCTGAGCTAGAAATCGGAGCAGTCGGAGGCAACGTTGGGCTTCCTTCCCTGGCAGTGGAAGGAAGTGGATCCTGTCCCTGAGGAAACCAGGGGGAAATCGATGACCGCCCACACAATCAACAAAGACAAAAACCACCGAAGACGAAGACGAAAAAAGGTACAAGTAAAAGCCGTTGAGCAGAACGGCGGATTCCCCGTCCGCGGGAAGGAGATGGGCTGGAGGGGAAGGAATAGAATGCCAGAGATTGGCCGAGTGAGTCCCCAGGGCCGCCGGATCTGATACTAGCCCGACACTGCTTGGCGACACGGTGTCACGATACTGTCCACGCCCACATACACGAAAGAAAAGAATTAATAATAATAAAAGACATCGCGACAAAAACGCGAGGGAGATGCATATCGACAAGGAGGCGCGACGCCAGCTGCTATCCCCAACCTCCAGCTCCAGGGTGCGGGGAAGACGGCTCGTCGTGTGTCGTACTGGTGCAGCTCCTGCTTCCAAGGATTTTGGGTAGCCCCCCTCCCTGGGCGCACCCTGACCCTTCACCACGGGTACCAGGAGCAGGTATCCCGCGGGGGCCGAAGATCACGGGAGGAGACAAGACGAAAGAAAGGGAAATGGGGTCGAAGAGGGGGGTGATGCGTGAGGACGGCGGCGGGCAGGATAGGGAGGACGGGGATGGGAGGGTCGGGGATCTGGGAGCGGGAGCGGGGGGACGAAGGGGTGAGAAGGGGCACTGACGACGCAGGTGGTCGAAGCGAAAGAACAGAACGGAAGGAGGGAAGGAATGGATAAATGGCGCAGAGGAAGGAGGCGGGGATGGACAACAAGACATGAATGAAGGCCAAATTGCTCGGTGGGTGGACGAGAAGTATGCGAGGTGTCGACCCCGTGCTGCGCGCGCGGGGCGAAACTATAGCTCGGAGAGCCAAAGCAGCGCCAAGAGAGAACACACGCGATTGAGCATGCACCTGGTGGGTACGCGCGGAATCGTAGACGTGCGGCTTCAGCGCGCCTCAAGGTGTACGCCTCAAACCCGGTACTAATAAACGATGGATACGCAGAGCTGCTTCGAGACGCTGTCAGCGACATAGATGAAGGGCCGAGATCGAGCGCACCGGGAGTCAACCTCCCGCCGCACCCAGAAGCAGAACGCGGGACACCGCACCCACCCCGCCGCCTACGCACCCACATCCCACATCGCTCTGCGCATACCCGCCACGCGCGGAACACAGCGAGCACAACGAGAACGGGGTCAATCTGGCGGCGTCGCGAGCGCACGGCGGCAGATGCGGTGTATGCGGTGGCGTGTTGCATGGGGCAGGCCGACGGACGGAGGAAGATGCGCACCACCCGCTCCGCGCGCGACCACGCTCGCTCGCACGCCCGCATATCATCATGCTCATGCCCGCCGCCCGCGCACCACAACGAGCACACCTCGCGCGCGAAAGTCGTACCCCACGTCCCCACTCGACCGTCACGCCTACGCACCCTCCTCGAATGTCGCGTCCCGGTCTTGTACCGAATCATATCCCTGGTTCCAGGTGGCGTGGTCGACGCTCGACTCCCCAACACGTTCGCCCTGCATCGCCGCAAGAGCCGCGCCCACCCGTCGTCACCGCACGCCGCACGTCCACCCGTCGTGCCCGCATACTCACCCGTCGTCGCCTCCTCCCTCGCCCACTCGTCGTCGCCGCACGTCGTCGCGAGCGCCGTCCCGTCCCGTCGTCTTCCCCACCCGTCGTCACCGCACCCCTGCACGTCCACCCGTCGGGCCTGCACGCCGCACGCCCGCCCGCCCGTTGTACCCGCACGCTCACTCGTCGTCTCCTCACCCGTCGCCTCCGACACGCTCTCCCGCTCCTTCTCCGTCGCGAGCACACGCCCAGGCCGCGGTGTACGGGGGCCACGAAGGAAATGAAACGAGCACGCGGCCGATCTGAAGCGCAAGCACCCCCACAAAGTTCGGCTTCTTCGCACGATCGGGGCGTCGCGCGCGCGCAGCGGTGTACACAGTACGGGCGTAATGACGGACGGAGGAAGATGCGGAGCCACGCTCCATGGGCACTGCGTGGGGACGGAGCGCGCAGCCAGCGACAGTGGGATAAGAGGTTCGCGGGCGCACGTCACGGTGTGCCCAAGAGCACGGTCGGTGCGGGCACGCACGGCGGGCAGGCTACGTAATATGCGGCCAGCCCAGAGACAACGAAGGCGTGCAAGGGCGGAGCGCGCAGCCAGCGACAGTGGGATATCAGACTTGCGGCGGCAGCGCGCGGTGCGCTCAAGAGAACAGTTGGTGCGGGAGCGCCGTGGTGGGCAGCGAGGCGGTCAGCGCGGGACGACAAAAGCGTGGTGGAGGAGCGCATCGTCCGTGACGGGACACAGCGAGGGCGTGCATGCAGCGACAGTGGGAGGATCAGGTTCGACTCGTGGGGGCGGAGGACGCGGTGTGCCCCAAGAGCACGGTCGGTGCTGGAGTGCCGTGGTGGGCAGCGGGGCGCGAGGCGCGGGACTACAAAAGCGTGGCGGAGGAGCCCATCCTGGATATGCGGCCAGCCCAGAGACAGAGCGCAAAGCGAGAGTGAGATCATACTCCCGGTGTGCCCAAGGAGGAGCGTATGGCGGGCAAGTTACGCGCCGGCGCCGTGGTGGGCAGCGCGACAAAAGGGCAGAAGAGAACATCCCCGCGCTCGGACCGGACGCGGCGACGGACGCGGACGCGGTGGACGATGCTCCACACGCACCGCCCTCCCTGGCGGAGGAGTACATCCCCCCGCGCTCGGACACAGCATGCAGGGTGCACCCCCCAACCCCACGCGCGACATTGGCGCCGAAGCATCCCTCGCGCCCGGATACAGCGCAGGCGTGCTTGTAGTGACAATGGGATCAAACTTGCAGCGGTGGGCGCTGTGCGCGCGCACCAGGACACAGCAGAGGCGTGCAGGCAGCGACAGTGGTGATGCGCCTGGACGTAGCGAAGGTTTCACAACACGGGTAGTGCATGGAGCTGTGACGCCCCCGCATACTAGGACCGCGCAGCGAGGCCAGCCGCGTTCATCCAGATTCAGGGACGGCGCTTCGGTATGTACTAGACGGCGCGGTCTGGGAGTATTGTGATTAGCATGCCTGTAACTCTGTACCGAAAAATTGAATACGCGCCTTGTGATTCACGCGAGTGGGTATATAATTCAGACATCGTGTAGCGTGTGTGTGCGAGACGGGGCGGAGACGGGGTTGTGCGTGTGCAGCAGGAGGGTAAGGGCAGACGCGGAAGGAGGGGGACGGGGAGAAGCGACGGCGACGCGGTAATACAGCTGAACCGGCGTGCGCCTCAAGCAGGACTCCAAAGAGGTGGTAGCACCAGGCAGGTAAGAGAGACGTCCATGGAACCCTGCCACAGTAGAGCTGTGGTCGCAAGCTAAGAGCAAGCAGAGATTTCGAGCTCAAACGTGATTGGTCATCCGGGGAGTGCCGGCTGCTCTCTCTCGCGATCCATCTGTTCGACGTACCGCGTCCAGTGGAAACGCGGATTCTCCCCCCTAAGCAAGAATCTAACAGGGGAAAACAGGGCAGGAAGGCGCACGGTGCGCATCGGGCGTTTGTGGGCCCAGTCATTCGCAATAACCCGAACGTCCCCGTTCGACTCGGGGTCCAGCCGTTCGCCGGTCGCTCAAAAGTTTTTTGCTCTTCTTTCGTTGCTCCATTCTTTTTGACTTCATACCTTCAAGATAGGCTTCAGACTATATGCATGCATAATGGGAGAGTTCCATTGGGGCATTTGTTATCCTCAGTGGTACCTCTTTCCACTGGACTCGTGATATTCCCCCTGGTAGACCTGAACCCAGGCGAGCGTGATTCTCCCTACATCTATCCAGGTACTGAATACTAGAAATAAGGCAGGAAGGCGCAGGGTGCGCATTGGGCTTCTGTACACGAATCTCTAGCTATTGAGCAACCCGAAGGTCCCCGTTCGACTCGGGGTCCTGCCATTCGTCGGTCAGAACTAATTTTTTCTCTTCTTTCCTTGCGTCGTTCTTTTTGACTTCATACTTCCAAGACAGGCTTCGGACTACATGCATGCTTCCTTCCATGCATCGTTGCGGCGCAAATGGTGAGTTCTATTTACTTGTTATCCTCAGTGAAGTTTCCCACTTGGACTCGTGATTTTTTTCCCTGCTAGATCTGAACCCAGGCGGGCCTGATTTTTCCAGGACCTAGGTAGTAGGAAGAAGGCAGGAACGCGCAGGGTGCGCATCGGGTTTGTGTGTGTGTATACCGTTTTCAACGCGGAGTATGTGGCCGGAGGTCCCCGTTCGACTCGGGGTCCTGCCATATCGCTATGGAATCAATTTTTGCTCTTCTTGCGTTGCGCCGTTCTTTTTGACTCCATGCTTCCAAGACAGGCTTCGTACTATATTATATATGCATGCACAATGGTGAGTCCCATGAGGGTACTTGTTCTTCTCAGTGGAATTTTTTACATGGACTCCGTGATATTTTACATTGACAAATCCGATTTTGCCCAGGTGGGCCGGATTTTTCCTACATCTA